GTCAGTAGAGAGGAAAGAGCAGGTGACGCATTCCGCAGCTGTGGGTTACTGGCAGGACAACTCAGGATGGCTGCTGGGGGGTGAGGTGGGATTAGGACCCACATCAACGCTGCTCCCCTCTGCTCCAGAACTTTCTTTTGTTTTTTTTGGTTTTTTTTTCTTTTCCTTTTTGTCTTTTTTTCGTGTCCGGCAACGGATCGCAACCCTCAGTGTCGCGCCCGTACCAGACCGGGACCGGCAACGGGATCGCAACCCTCAGTGTTGCGCCCACACCTCGCTCAGCCAGTGAGCGGGAACCGGTCTGTATGTGGGATCCGAACCCTCAGCGGGAGCGCCGCCACGCTCCCAAGCGGCGCACTGCTACAGTGTGCCACCGGGCCGGCCCCAGAACTTTCTGACTCTTTCTGGAATCATGGCATTGGGCTGTGTCTTTTTCCTTGTCCAGCCGCTCACAGTGACTTTTCTTTTGCCCTCCTCAATATTTAGAACTATATCGTGTTTGTTTTCTCAGGCACCAGGGAAGGAAGTTCCTGCATCACACTTGATTCTGCCACTTTTTCTTTTATTCAGGACACAATCCTGCTTATTAATCACGTGAATGATGTGTGTGTGTCATTTCTCCTCACTACAGCTCACTGTCTCCATTTTACAGGCCAGGAAACTGAGGCTCCGAGAGACACAGACACTTGCCCGAGGGCACATGGCTAGGAAGAGGCTGATGGGGACCAGACTTGGTGCTCTCTGACTCTACAATTTATTCTCTTTACTACACTACACCTTTCAACCTTCTTTCAGTCCCACAACACCCTTTCTTTAAATAAAATATTTCATGCAGGAATTTTATATGTAAGCTCAACCTGTAAAAACAAAAACAAACAACTAAGTGGGTTTTTCTGGTTGAGGTGGGGACAAGGAAGCCCAGAGTCTTTCAAGCTCCCCCTGGCTCCGTGGTCCTCTGGGGAAACCCCAGGGCTCTGCAGAAAACAGCTTGAAAACCAGAGTAATACAAAGAAAAACAACCACCAAATAATTCTACACCACGTGGTCCCATGTTGCCCTCTCGCCATGCACCCAGGTGGCCAACCAGAAAACCAGTCACCCTCCAAGCTCCTGTGTCTACCTCTCTCATCCCCCACATCCAACTGATCCCCAAGTCTTGCTGACTCGTCCCCCTGTTCAGTTTTCAAACCACCTTGGGATCCGCTCCCTGGCACTGACCAAGATTGTCATTCATTTACTCTGTGAGCATTGGGACTGTCAATGTTGGCATTCCCTGTTAGATGGCAAGTCCTACAAAGAGAGGGAGCTGGTGCTTTTGTCTGTGAAGATACCCTCAGATGCCAGCACAGGGCCTGGCACAGAGCGATGCCCAGCCAACCACAGCCAGGGGTAAAGAACAGAATCTCAGGTATTAAATCAGCAGGGCGGACAGTAAGAGGGCTGTACTAGAAATCCATATCAAGGAGTCACTGCAGCTAAGCACACACCTAGCTTTACTCTCTCAGCAGCAACCACAAAGAAACTGGAGCCGTTACCTAGCTCCTGACAACAGCAGGTGGGGCCCAGAGACAGGCGGGGCCAACGAGAAGCCACCGCGTAGAATGAGCTCCCTCTGTGGCTTTTGGCTTCTCTTGTCCTCTGCTGTGGGCACCCTCTGATGGCCTCCCATCTACCCACTAAAGCTGCAGCCCCTCACCCAGGATCTATGCTTAAGTCTGGACGTCTCCGTATGCCAGCCCACCTGGGATCTGACAAGCAGAAGCACCCGGCTTTCAGGAAGGAAGTGACCCCTCCTGTCTCGGAGCCCAGTTGTGCACAGGGCTCCCATCCGGTGACTTCCCCAGGCAGACCACAGCAGGGCTGTCCCACTCCCAACAGTCACTGGTGTCCCAGAGACAAGCCAGCCCCAGACGCCCTGGCTTTCCCCTTCTCTTCCTTCTCTTCCCCCCCCAACTTTTAGTCAGTCTACTCCGATTTTCCTGTGAAATATCTTCTGAATCCATCCATCCCCTCCACTCAACCTCCATGGCCACTGTCGAGGTCCCAACCGGCCCACCATGTCCCCCAGGCACCTGCACCAGCCTCCGCATGCACATCCTTGCTCCCCAGGCAGCCAGCCACCAGTCCACAAAATAAAAACACATCAGCGTCCTGCTCCAAACCCTTCCATCCACTCCTAGTACAGACCCAACAGAAGCACACGTCTGTGCCCATACACGTGCAGTAATGTACAGAGGGCCACTGTCTACAATCACCCAAAACTTGGAAACTATGCAAACATCTATCAACAGCAGAATGGTATACTCTCTCCAAATACTACACAGCAAGGAGAGTAAACAAGACAACTCCCACACGTGATGACCCGTGAATCTCACCAGACACAGCATTGCATGAAAAAAGCAAGATGCAAAAGAACGTTGATCCCGGGAATACAAAGTACAGCATCAGGCAAAACTATCACATGGTGACAGAAGTCAGGATTGCGATGACCCTCAGGGAAGCAGTGACCAGATGCGGGGTGTGAGGGGGGCTTCCGGGGCTGGTCATGTTCTGTTTCTTCACCTGAGTGCTGGCTACAGCTTAAGAAAATTCATCAAGATGTACATTTATGACTGTGCATGTTCTCCAAGTATGTTACACCTCAATATGACATTTTTTAAAAAGGAGCAGCCTTCATATATACAAAGAAAACCTATTTATTAGCTGATATAATGAAAGAGACTACTACATTTATGATAGCCACAAATAGAAATTGCCCAGGCAAAAATGTAGCAACAAACATGTTTCGTGGCTCCCACTCTGCAGAGGCCAACATGCAACTGCTGGGAGTGGCACGCCTCCTCCAGGAAGCCCTCCTGAGGCTCCCTGGGCCAGGTCAGTGCCTCCTTTGAGCTCTCATGGCTGCATGTGCACAGGCCCATCTAGCTGTGCTGTCACTGATCTGTCACAGGCTTCCCTTGGCTGACCAGAGCCTCAGCAACCTGACCCCCAGCACTGCCTGGGCATGGAGTATGTTCCACAGCTGTGCGTGGAACTGTCCTTCTCCTCTCTCAGGGGCCTGGGTCAAGGGCTCTGCAGACTCCCCAGGCTATTAGCCTGTGACTTGAAGATCTGTGTTTCTTTATTTCAGAATGGCCTGGATTTGTTCCTAAATCAAGTTTGAAAACCCTAAGTCACTTTCTGGAGAAGTGTAAACTGGAACAATCTTGGTAGCGGGTGATTTGACAACACTTAACCAAATTATTAACACCCACCCACTGCGACCCACGATAGTCCAAGCCTAGGTATTTGTCCCACAAAACTAAGGCTCAAACATGTGAGGTTGCTATTTCTGCAGGTCAAAAAATGTTGGCTATCAGCAATTTCATATGATTCTAACCAATACATCCATGCACGTATACTAAATGATTTACAAAGACACTCACTGCAGCAGTGTTTGCAATAGCCAGGGAACGGAATGCACCAATGTTATAAATAGCTATATGTAGGGGGTGGAAAGGGAATACTATGCAGCTGTAAAAAAGATAGTGGGGAAATCTTCAATGTACTAATATGAAAAGATGTCCCCACGTACATTACCAAGAGAACCAAAGCAAAATGCCAAACAGTTTTATAGTATTCTTTTTGTATTAAAAATAGGAGAGGGCTGGCTGGTTAGTTCAGTTGGTTAGAGCCAATGTACTAATATGAAAAGATGTCCCCACGTACATTACCAAGAGAACCAAAGCAAAATGCCTAACAGTTTTATAGTATTCTTTTTGTATTAAAAATAGGAGAGGGCTGGCTGGTTAGTTCAGTTGGTTAGAGTGTGGTGTTGATAACACCAAGGTCAAGGGTTTAGATCCCCATATTGGCCAGCAGCCAAAAAAAAAAAAAAGTAGGAGAAAAGTATAAGTATTAAAAACATAAATTACACGTGTATATGTATGTACATGCGTGTACACATATGTATATATTTATAGATACATATTTATACGTGCATACATACATACATATTTGCTTTTATGTATAAAATAACTCCAGAAGGATATGCAAGAAAAGTAATAAGTAGTTGCTTCCCAGAAGGAGAATAAAGTGAGGGAGTCTTTTCTCCCCATATTGGCCAGCAGCCAAAAAAAAAAAAAAGTAGGAGAAAAGTATAAGTATTAAAAATATAAATTACACGTGTATATGTATGTACATGCGTGTACACATATGTATATATTTATAGATACATATTTATACGTGCATACATACATACATATTTGCTCTTTTATGTATAAAATAACTCCAGAAGGATATGCAAGAAAAGTAATAAGTAGTTGCTTCCCAGAAGGAGAATAAAGTGAGGGAGTCTTTTCACCATATTCTTCTATGCCAAGTCAACATATTACCCAGGCAAATACAAAAATAAATTCAAACAAGGAAAAGAAAGGAAGCCAGCCCCCTCCCGGGCGGTGCAGTGATACTCACCAGGGCGCGTAGGAGGCTGCGATGAAGAAGTAGATGACCATCCGGTCGAACATGTGCAGACAATGCTCCACCATCCTAGGGCAGGCAGAGAAGCCGAGGTCATGGCCCCTGAGCAGCAGGAAGCACCAGAGAGCCCGGGCCATGCCCTGGGACAAACACGCCTTCCCACAGGTGGGGAGTGGACTGGGTTTGGGGCTGACTCTCCTCTGTCCAGCCATCACCCCTCAGGCCTCGTTCTCCCCATGTGTAAGTGACCAGAGCAGTGGTGTTCAAACCAGGCTCCCTCTCACCCTAGGGGCTGTATGGGGAGACCTCCTGAAGGTCTTCCACACCCTCCCCTAGGCGAAGACCTGACATCCCCCTCCCCTACTTTAATCAGAGCAACTCTGCATTTCTATTTTTCATACTGGGCTTTTCAAAAGATTTCAAATGAAGAAAGAATTCTGTGGCTTAAAAACATGCAAAACTACAAAGTTATGTGCCCCTAAAAACCCTTTGGGTTCTGACTTTCTATGTCCGAAGAGCTTAGTGGTTCAAATCCCAGCCCCATCACTTAGGGACTACATAACCTTGCACAAATTACTTACCCTCCCTAAGTCTCAGTTTCCTCCTCCGTAAAATAGAAAGGACACCAGAAACCTGATCACAGGGTTGTGAGGATTAAATGAGTGAATACTTAGCATGGTGCATAACAAGAAGTGTTCAATAAGCGTTAGCTATCTTCATTATGACACCATCTTGAAGACTGGTGTGCCCCAAAATGTCACCCAACAAACTCCACCTCCTGCACTCACACCGTTGAACAGCCCCTCCCACAATAAATAGGGCAAACTCATGGAACCAATAGAATACTGCAGACATCATGGTGTGTGATTTCCGAGGCTTGATCATAAAAGATATTACAGCTTCTGCCTTATTCTTTTGATTCACTAACTTTGGAGGAAACAATGCACCATGTGGCTGTGGAGAGGTCCATGTGGGGAAGAACTGAGCATCCCCCGAACATCCTGCACCAACTTGCCAGCCATGGGAGGGAGCCACCCCAGAAGTGGACTCTCCAGCCTCTTCCAGCCTTCAGATCACGGCAGCCCCAGCCAACATCTGACTACAGGAGAGACCCTGAACTGAAGCCATACGGCTAAGCTCCCGAATTCTTGACCCTCTGAGGCTTTGAGAGGTAATGAATGTTTCGTTATTTTAAGACACTATGTTTTAGGGTACTTTGTTATGCAGCGATAGATAGCTAATATAAACTGTGATTCTGTCTAGCAAACATCAGTCCTCCATAAACTTGACCAATGATTCTATGTGTGGTTCAACTGCATGTCTTCTTAGAAATTAAGACAATAACAATAGCTATCAAGTAGAGAGCACATGCCATAATCAGAGCACTGTTCTAAGTCCTTTATGAGCATTAACTCTTTAATCCTACTTATAAAGCAGATACCATTATTTTCATCCACCGTGTCATAGATGAGGACACTATAGGTTGGCACAGTCACACCACAGGCTGGTGGGCCCTAAAGCCAATGACTGGTGTCTTTACACGAGAAAAGAGAGGGAGGTTTGGACACAAAGACACACAGGGAGGAAGGCCATGTGAAGACAGAGGCCGTGATTAGAGTGATGTAGCCACAAGCCAGGGTTTCCCAGGAGCCACTGAAAGCTGGAAGAGACAAAGAAGGATCCTCCCCTAGAGCCTTTGGGGTAAGTACGGCCCTGCTGCCAACTTGATTTTGGACTTCTGGCCTCCTGGACTGTGAAAGAATACATTTCTGTTGTTTAAGCCACCCAGTTTGTGGGAATTCATTAAGGCAGCCACAGGAAAGTCATACAATGGGGTTCAAGAAGGGTCCAAAGAAAAGGAAAGGATGGGGACAGGAAAGGGGAGTGGAACCAGCTTCACGAAGGGCCTGGAATCCTGGATTCAGCTCTGACACGGACATTACCAGCTATGCGACCCTGAGCAAGGTCACCACCTTCTGATCCTGAGTATCAACATCTATAAAACAGGGATTCTACATGCTACGACCCGGGTGAACCTCGAGTGACACTGCGCTAAGTGAAATAAGCCAGTCAGAAATACGACAAATACTACGTGATTCCCCTTATATGAGATTCCTAGAGTCATCACATTCATAGAGACAGAAGGTAAATGGTGGTTTCCAGGGATTGAGGGAGGGGATTGGGAGTTAGTATTTAATAGGCATAGTGTTTTAGTGTACAAGATGAGAAAGTTCTAGAAATAGATGGTGGTGATGGCTGCACAGCAGTGCAAATGTGCTTAATTCACACTAAGTGTGCAGAATGAACTGCCTACTTAAAAATGGTTAAAATAGCAAATTTTATATTGATGTGTTTATTTTACCAACATTTAAAAAAAAAACAAATCAAAATTTTAAAAATCTGAATTCCAGTGCCTACATTGCAGAATTATTGAAAAGATTAGAGAAGGACATCTCTGCCTGGAGCTGAGGTGGCACCCAGAGGGGAGTTGTTATGATGCTGGTCCCTCGTAAGAGCCCTGCAAGGAGGGCTGGCTCCAGCGAGAGAGGTGGTTTGCCCAGGCGGGACTCAACTCCAGCCTGCGCAAGGCAGGGCGTGTTCTTCCCCCAAAGACAACCCAGGAGACATCCCCCCGCTTGGTCCCCTCCTGGCTCAGCTGAGCATGTCCCCAGGCAACTGCAGTGTCCTGCCTCATCCCTCAGTGGGCCCCTGCCCCTGGTCCCCGCCCACCACATGTCCCCTCCCACGGGCTGGGCAGGAGGTACCTGAGGTGGCTCTTCTTCCAGGAGACGGTGTGGAACATGGTGGACACCACAAAGAGCCCACAGAGGCCAAGGCCGTAGATCCAGGCAGAAATGGTTTCCCAGTCATCGTCCGACAGGAAGTAGAGGTTGGAGCTGCCGAGGATGCTGGGAATGATCCAGAACTGGAAGTAGGAGTGGGGACAGGTGCTGCGGGGTCCCAGCCTTTTGTGTGGCATCCAGGGGAGTACAGAGAATCCCTGAGCACACCTCCCTCCCTCTTCCCTAGACTGCCCTGTCCAAGACGGTAGCCACCAGGCACTTGAAATGTGGCCAGTACTACTGAGGAATCGAATTATCTTATTTTCTTTCATTTTAATGGGTTCAAATTTAAATTTCAATAGCTACATGGGACTACTGACTTGGACAGCATAGGTCTAGATCATTCATTAGAGTCTCAACATAGTCCGTGCACCAAATGGTTAAGGACCACTTCTCAGAGAGCAGCTGGCTCCCCCACACCACAGCCACACTCTGACACCACACAAAGGAGCCTAATGTGCCACATGCCACACACGATCATCACCGATGTCCCTGACCTCGCCTACTCAGAGTTCCCTGAAGGCAGAGCCCAGCTCAGAACAGCACGGATGCCCGGGTACCATTCAATTCATAACTGGGTTTAAATAGCGGACGATCTGTCACGGTTGGCTGTAGAGAATGGAATCCCCAAATCCTCTGCCTTTCCAGGTGCATGATTTGGCCCCACTCAGCCCTGAAACTTTGCCTCACCCCACTATCCCTCTGCTGTGCCCCCGGGTCACCACGCTCTGGCCTTACTGGCCTTCATCCAGATGTTCCAACGTGACAAACTCTTTCCTATCCGTCGGCCTTTGCACATGCTGTTCCCTCTTCCTGGACATGCTGTTCCCTCCACTCTTCAGGTGGCTGGCTCCTTGTCATCCTTCACGGTCAGAAGCACCTTCTCTGTCCCTTCTGAATGACATAGGTCCCTCCCACTATCTGCTCTCGTAGCACGTTATGATTTCTCTCTGTGGCAGTCCCCACAATTTATAGACTTATGTGTTAATTGACTCCCCCACACACATGAGCTCCACAGTGTTACCAGCCCGTGGTACACACTTAATGAATATATACTAAATGAATGAATGAATGGATGGGTGGAGAGATGGAGAAAAGAAGTAGGTAGGTGGGGAATCCAGCCCCAACACTGGGCTTCTTCCAGGATTCACAGAAAAGTATCTGCAAAATCAGCCCAAGTAAGCTCCAAAAGGAAAGAGGTGTCCTGCCAGCCTCACCAACACCTGGTGTGGACCAGGCCGGGTGATGGATGGGGAGGGGTCAACAGCAACGTACATGCAACATAAGGACAGTCCCTTAACAGAAGCCATCGGCCATCCATGGTACGTCTGCACATGGCGGACTGAATAGCAACAGATAAGACAGGAGCGTTGATGAAGGGGACAGAATTACAAACGTTTAAAAATTACTTTTGTTAATCTTAGTATATCACCTTGAAAAATAAATAGCAACTATCTCATGCTACTTTGCCATTTGGGGACAGAGTTCTCATTAGACTGTAGATCCTTATTATGCTTTGTGCTATTTTGTAACCACCTACAGTACCTAGTATTCACTCACTCGCTCACTCATTCATTCCTTCCACAAACCTGTGAGCCCAGGACATGTCCTCAGGAATGAAACGATACAAAACGCATGTGCCATCACCCTGCCCTCACTGTGTGCTCATAGGTACTAAGAGTGTGTCCAATAAATGTGTTAACATAGAGCATCCAGCACCTGCAATCCAGCTCCGCCCTCCTCCTGGAGCTGGAGTATGGATACGGCTGTGTCCACAGCACGAGTGCCCAGAGCAGATCCTAGATAGGGGTCTCTTCTCAGCCTCACAGCTCCCCCCGGGATGACGGCAGAATCGATTCTGCACCTCTTTCTCCGGAAGCACGGGTGAATGTGCCAGGGGGTAAGGGCACTTGCCATGGCGTGGCTCCTACGACACCCCTTCTGCAGATAGGAAACTGAGGCTCGGAGCCACTGAAGATGTAGTGGGGTTCAAAAGCAGGTCTTCTCTTGCTAGAGCTTTGCTCTTTGGGGTATAGACTTGTGACAATGAGTCAGCTTGTGACTCTCTCTGCACCTCTTTCTCCGGAAGCACGGGTGAATGTGCCAGGGGGTAAGGGCACTTGCCATGGTGTGGCTCCTACGACACCCCTTCTGCAGATAGGAAACTGAGGCTCGGAGCCACTGAAGATGAAGTGGGGTTCAAAAGCAGGTCTTCTCTTGCTAGAGCTTTGCTCTTTGGGGTATAGACTTGTGACAATGAGTCAGCTTGTGACTCTGGGCAAGACTTCTGACCCAAGCCTCAGCTTCCTCCTCTGCAGAACAGAGTCATGTGATCTTTTCTTAAATATTTTTAGAGTCCCTACTATGGACACTGCATGGGGCTTCTGAGGTGAACCAGTGAGAACCAGTCTCTACTCAGTAGAGTTCCTGTTCTAAAGGGACAGACTAAGAAAAAGTAAACCTAGGACCCAGAGTGGTGCCAGGCACACACTATGTTAAGTGCAAATCAGCACCAGCTCCTCCTTTTATTATACCTGCAGCCCACCATTGAAGGCCTGGGCTCGTGCCAAACACATAATAGCCCCTGAGGTCTAAGAGAGGGAGGCAAGGTTGAGAATTCAATTCACCTCCACACACACTGTCTGAGCACCTCCTCTGTGCCAGGCACACTGCGATGTCCTGAGATACCAAAGAGTCCCCAGCAGGGATTCGGTTTAAACTCACATCTGCATCACCAGGGCCTGGAGCAGTGCCTGGTACATCAAGGGTATCCAGGGACTGTTTGCTGATTGAATAGGCGACGGACGGGTGCGTTCCAGCCAGGCACAATACAGGGCAGTGAGGGCTTCAACGGCTGGGGAAGGAAGGTGGGCACCAGCTCAGAGCTCCCCAGCAGCTGGGCAGACAGGAAGGCTTTTGGGGGAATATTTTGGCAAGGCCAAAAAGGTGAAAAGGGTTGCACAGGCGAGGCTGGGTGGAGATGGAAGTATTCCAGGTGGAGGGAACAGCATGTGCAAAGGCATGTGGTCATGGCTTCTGTTTGGGAAACAGCGAGTGGTTTGAGTGCTGGAGACTGAGGGCACGAGCGTGGCCATGGGAGTTGGGCGACGGAGGGGCTGGGGCCTGGCTGGGAGCTTGCTAGAGTGACTGATGCCATACTAGGTACTAGGGAGCCACTGAAGATTCTTAGAACAACAGAGAGGCACGCTTAGCACCACCGTCCAATTTACCCCAATGGCCTTCCCTTGAGATCCCACTCACTCTTCTGAGGGTCATGGAAGATTTGAGGAATAGGCCACTCAGGATAGGGTGAATTTCTCCACAGGTGAAGAGGTTGCCTTCCCCGCCCCCACTTAGAAGTGTCCCCATCTCAGCCCCCCAAGAGCCGACTCACAGCATGGGTGGCACAGTTGGCCGCATGTTCATACTCCGTGGGCTGGTACCTCTTGTGGGCAGGGACTCGGTGGTTCATGAACCTGGAAGAAAAGCAGAATTCCAGGAAGCTGGGCTTAGGACACAGCTCTGGGCAGAATGCCCAGAAGACCTGACGACCTCACCCCTACCAGTGGGAAAAGAGCCCCCTCCTGGCCCCTATCTTCCCCACCCTCCCTCTTTCTGATTATTAAATGTTTTTGGACTACCCAACATTTTGTGCCTAATCCCCAGTGCTGTTTGTCACAAAACTTTACTACATATTGCATGTGACATTCTCTTCACCTTCTAGTTTTTATTTTCTGTAAGTATAACACGTATAGAACAGCTCTCCAAGGGTACAGCTTGGTGAAGTTTTATACACACACGCACCCATGGAACCGCCACCCAGGAGGAACTATAGTTCATTTCCTGCCCCCCAGAAAGTGCCCTTATGCCCCTCCCAGTGGGTACCTTTCCCCCAAGGAAACCACCTTCTGACATTGTCATCAAGGATTAATTTAGCCTGTTCTTCAACTGTGAATGTTCAATACGTGGCCTCATATGGCACACCCTCTTTTATGTGTGGCTTCCATGTGTTCAACGTGATTTTTGTTAGATTCCTCCACATTGTTGGATACTGCCATTGGGTTTTTTCGGGGCTGTATAGTATTCCACTAGATCACTATACCACATATGATTCATTCAGTCTACTGTAGGTGAACACTCCAATTTGGGGCTATAATGGATAACTCTGCCCATGAACATTTTTTATTGCAAATTGACCATCTATAATTGTATACATTTATGCAGTATAAAGTGATGTTATAATTTATGAATACGATGTGGAATAATTAAATCAAGCTAGTTAACATATCCACCACCTCAGATACTCAACATTTCTTGTAGTGAGAACATGCGAAATCTACTCTTAGCAATTTTGAAATGTACAGTACTCCATTATTAACTATATTCTCCATGCTGTGCAATAGAACTCAAAAAAAGAAACAAACACATTCCTCCTGTCTAACAAGTTTTGTATCCTTTGACCATGGTCTCCCCATTCCCCCAAGCTCCCAGCCTCTGTAACCACCATTCTGCTCTCTGCTCCTATGAGTTTAATTGTCTTAGATTCCATACATAAGTGAGAACATGCGGTATTTGTCTTTCTGTGCCTGACTTATTTCACTTAGCATAATGCTCTCCAATTCCATCCACGTTGTCACAAATGACAGAGTTTCCTTCTTTGTTAAGACTGAATAGTATCCCATTGTGTATATATGCTCCATTTTCTTTCTTCATTCATCTGCTGATGGACACTTAGGTCGATGCCATAACTCGGCTATTGTGAACTGTGCTGCAATGAACACGGGGGCACAGTCATCTCTTAGATAAACTATTTCAAATCTTTTGAGTAAATACCCAGAAAAGGGATTGCTAGGTCCTCATGAGCATTTTTGCGCACATTTTTTGATGGACATATGCACTCAGTTCTGCTGGGCTCAGATCCATATGTGGAACTGCCAGGTGGCTTTATCTTAAAAATAAACATTCCTGATGTTTTGATGTCTTTAGGAATCTTCGAAGCATCATCACTTCTGTGTGATCCTCACCGGAGCACTGTGGGGAGCTACTACCCATTTACAGATGGGGATGCTATGGTGCAGGAAGGTTAGGAAGCGAGACCACCAGGTGAGACAGGACTCGACCCAGGCCTGGCTGGCTCAGAAGTGAGAACATGCGAAATCTACTCTTAGCAATTTTGAAATGTACAGTACTCCATTATTAACTGTATTCTCCATGCTGTGCAATAGAACTCAAAAAAAGAAACAAACACATTCCTCCTGTCTAGCAAGTTTTGTATCCTTTGACCATGGTCTCCCCATTCCCCCAAGCTCCCAGCCTCTGTAACCACCATTCTGCTCTCTGCTCCTATGAGTTTAATTGTCTTAGATTCCATACATAAGTGAGAACATGCGGTATTTGTCTTTCTGTGCCTGACTTATTTCACTTAGCATAATGCTCTCCAATTCCATCCACGTTGTCACAAATGACAGAGTTTCCTTCTTTGTTAAGACTGAATAGTATCCCATTGTGTATATATGCTCCATTTTCTTTCTTCATTCATCTGCTGATGGACACTTAGGTCGATGCCATAACTCGGCTATTGTGAACTGTGCTGCAATGAACACGGGGGCACAGTCATCTCTTAGATAAACTATTTCAAATCTTTTGAGTAAATACCCAGAAAAGGGATTGCTAGGTCCTCATGAGCATTTTTGCGCACATTTTTTGATGGACATATGCACTCAGTTCTGCTGGGCTCAGATCCATATGTGGAACTGCCAGGTGGCTTTATCTTAAAAATAAACATTCCTGATGTTTTGATGTCTTTAGGAATCTTCGAAGCATCATCACTTCTGTGTGATCCTCACCGGAGCACTGTGGGGAGCTACTACCCATTTACAGATGGGGATGCTATGGTGCAGGAAGGTTAGGAAGCGAGACCACCAGGTGAGACAGGACTCGACCCAGGCCTGGCTGGCTCAGAAGCCTGGCTCTGCCATGACATGACTCTGTGCAGGGGTGTTTAAGTCAGGCTGGCAAGATACGCAAGGATTGGCTGGGCAGCAAGAGGCATCCAAGAGCTTGGGGGTAGGATGTGCGAAGCCTGGCTCTGCCATGACATGACTCTGTGCAGGGGTGTTTAAGTCAGGCTGGCAAGATACTCAAGGATTGGCTGGGCAGCAAGAGGCATCCAAGAGCTTGGGGGTAGGATGTGCACACACCTGACTCTTAGGTCTACAGGCAGGACCAGCTTGGCAGCATTCACTTCCTCTGCCCACACAGGCTCAGAATCAGGTGAGTGGCCAGTTCACCTGGGACTCTGCCAAGTATTGTCCACCAGATGGGGTTAATCTCCACTAAAACATACCAAAAACTCTTTCCCCCAGGTCCCAATTATTTCTTTGTAGACTCCCCAAAATAAGAAACAGGTATGGAGTTCAGAACAAAGGGCTCAACGCAGTACAGTTCACAAGCACTTATTGAGCAGCTTCTGTATGCTGGTGTCAGATTCGAGTAGTCCCTGGATCATTCATTGAGCACCTTCTGCTTGCTGAGCCCATGCTAGTACAGTTCCTGGAGCATCCATGGAGCACATCCTATATGCTGGCTTCATGTAGGCTGATGTGGGTAGAGCAGGAGCGAAGGCTGGAGGAGGGGTCTGCCAGGCACTGACTCTGTGACTTTCCCTGGGACTCTTGGGGTCTGCTTTTCTTATGCTGGCCCTCTTGGCACCTGGATGAGTCCAGGGACCCGAGTAAGGTCCTCCCACCCAACTGCTCTGATGACTACTCTCTGCTTGCATCTGGCTGTGACTCCATGGTCATGGTCATGATCAAGTGACTCCATGGTCACATGATTTCACGGTCACAAGACTCCAAGGCTAGGGTTATGCTGAACCCATTAGACAGATGAGAAAATTAAGACAACCCCCCCCCAGTCAGTAAGTCCCGGGGCCGGGCTTCTGGACTGAGCCAGCCAGTGCTCCATCTCCTATGGTCTGAGCACCTTCGCAAGGGCAGATTAAAAGCTGGACTTATGGTCACAGAAAAAATGGAGGACTCACCCCTGGAGGTGCAGACGCCACCAAAACCTCCCCAGGAGTCCAGAACAACCAGTCTTTCAGCCCACCTTCTTCACGGGTGGCCCAGGAAGTTGTCAGTGGTCAAGACTGGCTTATTAAATAATAAGTAATAACGAAAATAGTGTTATGGTTGAACCGTGTCCTCCCAGAATTCATATGCTGGAGTCCTAATCCCCAGTACCTCAGAATGTGACTTTATTGGGGAATAGGATCATTACAGATGTAATTAGTGAAGATAAAGTCACACCAGAGTAGGTTGGGCCCCTAATCCAATATGACTGGTGTCCTTATAAGAAGAAGAGACCTAGAGAGGAGAATGTCATATGAAGACAGAGACACATATGGAGAAGACGGTCATGTAACCACGGTGGCAGAACTTGGATGATGCATCTACAAGCCAAGGAGCACCCAGGACCACTGGAGCCACCAGCAGCTGCAGAGAGGCACAGAAGGGACTCACCCTCAGAGCCTCCAGAAGGAGCCAACACTGTCCACACTTTGACTTTGCACTTCTGGCCTCTGGAAGTGTGAGAGAATAAATATGTGTTGTTTTAAGCCATGAGTGTGTGTAATCTATTTCTGCAGCCCTGGGACACTAACACAGGTACACACAGTGTTTGTCTTGATAGACTGTGCCCAAAAGCTCCCAAGGAGGCCAGTTTCCACTCCCACTATCTAGGCTGGGGGGCAGTGGCCAACTGTGAAGGGACGCGGTGAGTGCCTTTCTCCAAGGTGGGAAACCAAGTCCCTGGCAGAGGGTGCTCTCCTCCCCCACCTGCTGCCAGGCCCTTTCCTGCCCTGCGGCTTTAACAAACACCAGTAAGCCACCAATAGTGCCAGCCACGCGGGTTCGAGGGTGATGTCACGGTTGCCGTGGTGACCTGGGACAGGCAGTTATTTATTTATTTCTGGGCTCCACAAAACGTCCCTTGTCTCTCACTCACGCTGCAGCTATTGAATGCTGGTGAGAGAGGAAAAAGAGCTGGGGCAAATGCCCAAGAAGTAGAGTTCCCACCACCCTAAAGACCCAAGAACTTTTCCTTTAACTCCTTGTGGCCTAATTTCTTTTTTCATCAACCTCTATCAGGGATTTTAAGAAGACGGTGGATTCATTTTTTAATTTATGTTTTTTTGTTTGTTTGTTTGTTTGTTTTGTTTTGGTTTTTTTCCTTTTTGTCTTTTTTTCGTGTCCCTCAGTGTCGCGCCCGTACCGGACCGGGACCGGCAACGGGATTGCAACCCTCGGTGTCG